AAATCAGAATTCTAATGAGTTTCTTTTGGGCTAAAGGCCAAATTTAATTTGCACAGAGACTGTTATAATTTTTCAAATGGCTTTTACTCTCCTAAAACAAGTTTCACTGTAATGGCCTGTGATATTTGCTTATTCTTACTTTCGTATGAAGTCAGTTACAATACCACCATTAATAATTAATAGAATTATTTTTGTTCATGGGTAAACTAGGGTACAGGACTGTGCAGTGTTGCAGCAGGCATAGTAATATCTATGAACCCCACTCAGATACGCTTGAAAGTGTGGCTCCTTTGCATAAGACCATGACCTTAGATTGATTTCAGTATGAAGCAAAAAATGCACATTGTACAAATCCAAGGATGTAGGTTATTCACACTATATTGTATATTTCTAGTCATGCAGATGCCTAAGTCATGTAAGGGTTTTTTATTTCCAACTATGTTCATATTTTGCTATGTTTTGCAGTGTTTATTTGAACAGCAATGCTTCCAACTAAAGTAACAGGTGCTAAGTAATTTAGTTCACAGATTTTAATTCCATATGGGAGCCAAGACCATGAAATATGCTTTGCTTTTGTAATTCTTATTAAGTCTCAATTCTGGTCTCAGTTACAGCTATGATTTGTCCCACTCACTTCAATATAATCTCACTGTCTTGCGAATGCCCCTGGAGATGTTGAAATCAGAAACGTCCCAGACTCGTCAGGAGAGCTTTGACATCTTTGAAGATGAAGGATTAATTACACAAGGTGGAAGTGGTAGGTGGTTTTGGCATATCTAATGTATGTTAATGTGGCATCTATGAAATGGCACCTCATTAAATTCGCTCACATTTCCCTCATATTTCTCCATCCCTCATTGCTCTTTGTCCTCACATGGGGTTGTTTTGGATACATGAACTTGACCAATTCATTTTTATAGAGATTATTAATCACCATGTGATTTCATTTGTAGGCCAGCCAGAAAATTGTATGCTGACATTTTCTGGCAATTATTCATGCACTTTTTATTGAACACATTCAGGTCTAGACTTTTGGTGAAGTTTAAATGGAGGACTGTTTTTCTCAATACTGGATAATATATACCACCTTATTTTCCTTCATAGAGACCAGTTTGGTAAGGACTGGGTTTTAGAAAAAATTTACCATGGGTTACCTTTTATGTACTATTCATTTGCATATAATATCCTCATAAAAACTCTGGTCAGTAGGTGAAATGCCAGTTTTATAGAGATAAAGACTAAGTAGGAAACTGAGGCCTAGAAATTAAGATCATATGGCCAATGTTGAGATCAATCAGTGCTACAGGTCAGAGGCTCTGTTTACTTTGATTGGTCCCAACTTGACCCATCAGTACTTCATAGCCCTTGCTTCTGCCAGGACCACTGTAGGATCACTGCAGGACCATTGAGTGATTCATCCAGGGTGCCCCTGAGATCACGGACTAAACCAGTCAGATGGTACCTTTCTCCACCTTTGTCAGTACTTTGGTCTCCAGATTCTTGGAATGGTCTAGAACTTTAAAGCAAGAGACATTGCTCATGTGAATGTTATGAGGGAATCATTTCAAAAGTTAAGGCACTTGAGTCGAGTTGAACTGCCTGTGGAAAGTAAATCAGTAGCATCTTTGGGCCCCTTGCTCCATGCAGCTTAAATGGTAGTGATCAAGATGTAGGTGCAGAGGTAGAATCTAATCTAAAATGATCCCAGAAAGTTTGCCCTTGCAGGATACTCAAAAAGAGGCTGTGTTCTATTAGAGTTTTGTCAAAGATGCTGGTCAACTGTAAGAAGGCTTAGGCTGTTATTTACACTGAATGTCATGCCATTGACTCCTGTTAGTTTACTTGATTGATTATCACTTGAGCTAAGGTCAAACCCAGTGCACCCTCCCTACCCCCAGACCATCTAGATCACATAAATTTGCCCTGGTTCAAGCACCTGAATAATAACCCATCCCACTAGAGACAGGTGGAGGGCAAGACAACTAGTGTGTCTGAATATTTGCTTGAATCACTTCTGAATATCACAATTAATAATATAAAAGCTGAAAGTTATCACTATATTTGTACTGCATGCTATCCAAAATCTGCATCTGAATTAAGCCTGCAATGTCACTTAATTTCTTGCTCTCTCTGGAGGAATTCTCCTTGATACATAGGAATGACAAGGTGTATTAGTTTACTGTTCTTGCTGTAGCAGATTACCACCAATTTAGTGGCTAAAACAACACAGATTTAGTGTTTTATAGAAGGCAGAAGTGCAAAGTGGGTCTGAGTGGGCTACAATTGGTGTATTGGCAAGACTGCATTCCTTTTGGGGCCCTAGGGGAGGATCAGTTTTCATGCCCTTTCCATCTTCTGAGGGCTGCCCTCATTTCCTGGCTCATGGCTTCCTTCCATCTTCGAAGCCAGGAATGGCCAGCGGAGATGTCCCCCCGACATTACATCATTCTGGCACTCACACTCCTGTTTTCCTCTTTCACTTATAAGGACCCTGTGATTACACTGGGCCCACTTGGGTAATCCAGAATAATCTTCTCATCTCAAGGTCATCTGATTAGCAACCTTAATTCCACCTGCACCTCTAATTTTTCTTTGCCATGTAATAGAACGTATTCACAGGTTCTGGTGATTAGAATGCAGCCATCTTTGCTGGGTGTGGAATTATT